CTAGGATGGTTGGGGTGAATCCAATGGAATCAAAATATTTGAGAGTCATCTGCCGCAAGCCTACTGCGATATTTGTGTTGATAAATAATAGTGTAAAATAAGAATCAAGAGTAGGCCTGCAAAAATACACGGGGTGCAGTGATTGTTGACGGAAAGCGGGAGCAAATTAAGCTATAACAGCTCACTTGGGTTCATGTGACACATAAATCCTGTAGCAGGCCGCGATTGGCGTAATCTAGGTAACAAAGCGTTGGGAGTTAAGAGCAATATCCAATCGTTTTTCTGAAAAGAGTAGGAGAGGATACAACTGAGTCTGAGAGTGTGTTCCAGGGTTGGCAAACTCGAAGGGAATAGCAATTCCGTCGGTACTCAAGGTGGCTACATTATTCCCTCAATTCCACACATTTACCCCTGAGCTGCATGTTTTGGCTAATTTTCAATAAATGCCAGCAAACGTGGTTTGGGCCACTCAATATTTGGTATGCTAATAAGAATCTGCAATCACGAATTCTTGAGTTACAGCGGCTTTGTTTCTGTGACCATTCAATTGTTGAGGAGTTTGATAAAGCGCAACTCGAAATCGTTTGAGCAATGCTTGAAAGGATTGTGTAGAAAGGTGGAAGAGAAAAACTACGTTAACTTGTTAAAGGTCTTGCAATCGACGTAGGTGGAATCGAAATTTCCGCAACATTCGGATGGATAATATAGGACTAGTTAATACTAGTCCGAGACGATGCGCGTAATTAAGCGCGGATATCAGAAGGCAATGGGAGTCGGACACAGCGGACTGTATTCGATGGGCTACAACAAGAAACGGACGAATGAAGCGAGGCAAGTGCGTACACGTGAGCGCGGGGACTTACAAGGCAGTTGTGCGTCGAGCCGGTTGTAAGGACGATTAAAACAAGAAGGAATAATGTACAATCGGTCAACAAGTAAATTGTACATGAAAGAGAAGAGTTATCTTTTTGAGCTCTACAGAACTCCCCCCCTAGAAGGCTGAACATAGAAAGCCTTCGAAATCGAAAAGGAATGTTGAAACGAGGTTCGTAAGGCAAAATCGTGCCGAGTAGATAGGAGCGTGCGTTCGTGTAAATGGGGGATCGTCGGAATTTGGAGTCCGCTGTGCCGTTTGTGATTTGTTATTTATTGAATGCAGGGCAGAGTGCATTTCGGCGAGCCGTTGGAGCGGGCTTGTCGGACTACAAAAAACTGGCTAGCCCAGAAAAAGGCCGACAGGGCCTCAACCTCCGCTGCTGCCAAACGGTGCGCTTGGGAGTGGTCTCTCCCCCCGCCGCACCCCACACCCCGCCCCGCGCCAAAACGACCCTCGTTCCACGTAGAAACGACCACGGTCCCACGGAGAAGCGACCCTCGTCCCGCGAAGAAGCGACATTCGTCCCGCGGAGAAACGATACTCGTCCAGCGGAGAAACGATCAGTGTTCGCGTCAGTGTGCTCGAAAACATACCTCGTGTGGGCCAGTCGGTCGAAGGGGAGGGTTGGGGCAAGTAGAGACGAAAAAATAGAAAAACACGCGCAGAAAACGCCAAAAAGAACAAACGAATGATCTGCGTGTTTAAAATTTTTTTGGTTTTTGAATATTTTTTTCGAAAAAGGTTTTTCGGAGTTTTTTGATATTTTTGTTTGTTTTCAAAACGTTAATGGACCAAACATGGGGCAAGTATACACAATATCTACAAAGTTAAAAGTATTTACACTGTACATAGTCGGAGAAACGAACGGGCTTCCGCACCTCACGTCCACAGCGATTGGTCGTGGGAGGTGGCGGACTAGGTTCGGGAGATGTCGGGACGGCTGAAGCTTGTAGACTGTGATCGTGATCTGGTTGGACTTCATAAGCATGCGGAAAACTGGTGCGGTGAGTTGCGACGTCGCACGAGGCACTAATAGACGAAGTAAGCGCGGGGGTTTCTTCCATAAAAGCGGGTTTCTGATGGTCGATGTTGACGACTTCATGTCGACCACCGCGGTCAATAGTGTACGCCTTACTCCCACGATGTAGCACCTTGAAAGGTCCTATTGTAGAGGGGCCGCTTCCAAGAATGGCTCTGGGGAGCTCTTCGGAGCTAGCTGAGAGCGGATCGCGAAAGACGGCTAGCGACGAGCCTGGGCCCGGAACTACGGAGCGGGAACATGTGGACAGCGCAATAAATCAGACAAATACGCCGCTAGCGCAGCCCACAGCACCGAGGCCGAGCCGATTGACACAGCCCAGAACAAGCAAGGCGAGAGCTCTCGAACGACTCCTGGCCGACCCAAATCGGGTGCAGAGAAGCGGAGATCGAGGCGAAAACAGGAAGGCGGATCTTCCAAGTCAGAGCTCCCGAGGCGAAAGGACTGGCTCGCCTCGAACATCCGTACCTGTGTTGCGTGGTGGGACGGAAATCTAGTCGATATTCGATGGCGCGCGCGAGACCCTCATGTGCCCATTTTCGGTGTGCAATAAACGTCTACCCCCCTGTCGTGTCGTTCTCGCTACATTGGTGCCGTGACCAATCGCGATGGAGTTGACCCGGTTGGAGCAATTTGCGGCCGGTGACGTGGA